CCAGCCCAGGACACATTTTCAATTCTCTTGGGATTTAAAGAAAATGCTTGGTCATATGGTAAATTTTATCTTTTTTTTCTCCCTCCCACTGTACTGGGGACTGAACCCAGGGGCATTCTACCATTGAGCTACATACATCTCCAGCCTTTTCTAATCAGGGTCTCCCTAAGTTTTCCAGACTGTTCTCCAACTTATGATCCTCCTGCTTCAGCCTCCCAAGCACCTGGGATTACAGGAAATGTCCCCAGCTCAAGTTTACTCTTTTTTTTTTTTTTTGTTCCAGGGGTTGAACTCAGGGGCACTTGACAACTGAGCCACAACTCCAGCCTTATTTTATATTTTATCTAGAGACTGGGTTTCCCTGAGTTGCTTAGCACTCACTTTTGCTCAGGCTGGCTTTGAACTCGTGATCCTCCTGCTTCAGTCTCACTAGCCACTGGGGATTACAGGTGTGCACCACCGTGCCTGCTCAAGTTAACTTTTTGAGGAACTGCTAGATTGTTTTCCAAAACACTGGTACAGGCTTGGGCTGTAGCACAGTGGTAAAGTGCTTGTCTCACAGGTGTGAAGCACTAGGTACAGTCCTCAGCACCACATAAAAATAAATACATAAGAAGATATTGTATCCATTTACAACTAAAAAAATTAAAAACAAACATTGGTACCATTTCACATTCCCACCAATATATAAGTGTTCCAATTAATATTAGAACTTTGACAATACTTATTATTTTTACTGATTACATATAACTCAACGTATCCTCTTCTTTTGTTGTTGTTATTGTTTTAGGTGCTGTAAAGAAATCACTGCCTAATTCAAGGTCACAAAAATTTATATTTGTTTTAAGGATTTTTATTTTTTTTAGCTCTTATGTTTATTTAAGTCTTTGATGTGTTTTGGGTTATTCTGTATATGAGATATGGTCCTAATTCATTCTTTTGAATGTGGATGAGTGGTTCCAGCATCATTTGTTGGGAAAAAAAAATTCTTTTCCCATTGAATGATCTTAGCACCATTATTGAAAACTCAACTGCCCATGAATATGGGTATTTCTGTACTTTCTGTATTGAGTGTTTTCTGTACTTTCAATACTGTTCCAATGATCTATATAACTATCTCCATGCAAGTATCACAGTTTCAATTACTGTACCTTAAATTTTGAAATTGGGAATTGTTAGTTCTCCAACTTTGGTTTTCTTTTTCAAGACTTGTTTTGGCTATTCTTACTCATTCTTCAAAATCAGAAGAAATCCCTGATTTTTAATCCATACAGCCTTTCCTAAATTAGTCTAATGAGATTATTCTTCTCTGCTGTGAACTGATGATTTAACAAGTCATCTTTGTATGAAATCAGGAATTCTCAGATTTGGGAAGAGCCTGAAAATTCCAGTTCACCCTTTACTCAGTGTAGCATTTCCCTATGCTTTGACCTTAACTAATAATAGTTTTCCTAGAATGCCTCAGTGATTTATAGCTTAACACCTTAATATTACTTTATTCTACAGTTGGAAAGCTTTTAAATCCTTATTCTAAGTCTCCTACAACTCCAAATTACTTGGATAATATATGAAGTTAAAATATCCTTTGCAATCTATAAAGCTCATTTTACCTTTGTTGCTTAATAAACTTTTAATATCTTATTACAGTGGACATGGCTATTACTCTCATTTAAAAATAATAAAAAACAAGGCTCAGAGAAGTTATCAAGATATGAAAACAGAAACTCTACTTCCAATTCCATTCTTTTTAGTTATGACCCAAGATCTGAGGAACTAAAAGGAAAATCAAAGTCAAACATACTGTTTAATAAGGCAGCCAATCAAATGTGATAGTTCTGAGTATGTCAAAATGCTTTAAAGTATTTAAACAACAATAAAAGCTAGTTTTTGTGAACTAGAAATCTGACCTACATTCCTAAGTGACACCACCTGAGATACTGTTATTTTTTTAAATTAAAAGCATAATTAAATGACAAACATGTTGCAAATACTGAATTCTCATTTAAACTTGAGAAAAAATCTTCGAAGCCAAAAAGCCAAAATGAAAGTAGTACCACCCACCTGGTGGCAGCATTTCCTAATTATAAGCAGAATACTTGTAGAGAAAAAAAGCTGTTTTGAAAACCCCAATAAAAAAATGTTAGGAAATTCTTGGGGCTGGGGTTGTGGCTCAGTGGTAGAGTACTTGCCTCTTATGCGTGAAGCACTGGGTTCAATCCTCAGCACCACAAAAAAATAAATAAATAAGATAAAGATATTGTGTCCGTCTGCAACTAAAGAAATATTAAAAAAAAATGTTAGGAAATTCTTGTTTAGGCACACAGCTGCTACTCATATATGCACTCCATTAGGGATGGTCTTCCTGTTTAAGTAAATTTCCCTTGTGGGAGACATATGGAGTGAAAAGAACAGATACCTGGGTAGCTTGCCAAAATGGCTGATCCTGTCCTGGGAACCGAGAGGGGACTGGATGTATCAACAATAACCCAACATATCCACATCACAGTCCAACAGGCACAACTATCTAGTGGAAAGAATACTGGCCTAGTCGGGTGCCTGGGGTCCATTTTCAGTTCCAATGATCATTTGACTAAGTCAAAGAGACTTTTTAATGTTTCTTTTCAGCTACCTAGTAAAATAGACGAAGAAACATTCTCTGAATTTGTTATCAAACAGGGAAATCATGCATATATGTGTGTGTATTGATACCTAGATATCTATTATTAGTTTTCAGCATATAAAATATATTTATCTCTTAAGCTCATTATTTTGATTTGTCTGTGTATTTGCTATGCTGAAATTATGAATGACCGACTTTTTTTTAAAAAGGCACTTAAAAGTTTAACTTAGCCTGATGTGGTGGTGCACACCTATAATCCCCAGCTGCTTGAGAGGCAGAGGCAGGAGGATTGCAAATTAAAAGCCGGCCTCAGCAACTTAGACCCTAAGCAACTCAGTGAGACCCTCTTTCTAAATAAGATACAAGAAAAGCCTAGGGATGTGGCTCAGTGGTTAAGTGTCCTTGGGTTTAATCCATGGTCTCAAAAAACAAACAAAAAAATGTTAAATACAACTTAAAAGTCCTTTAAGTTATACATGAAGAAAACAAGCCTAAATTTTTAAAAGACTACAATTTCTTTTAATATGGCATCATGATCACCTTTGTACTCAGAGACAGCTGGAATAAACTATGTTTTCCATACACTAGAATGGTATAAAAGTACTTCATATATTATTAGTTCACCAACCTACAGTCTTTATTCTTTGTCAAACTGTATAGCAATTATTATTGCATCCTTAAGCTTTAAAATTTTTTTCATAGCTAAAATTCTAAAATTGATTCTGTCATAGGATATAATAACATCTTTGTGATTAGCAGCCTATTTTCTTCCTTTTCAACTTCTCTCTCTATACCTCCAAATGAGCTCTCTCAAGTTTGAAATTTAATCATTTCCACCTCACTTTTTAAAATTTTCTCTAACCATACTAACTTTTTGGCTTCCCTGTCTAAAGAAACCATACCATTGCCATTATGATAAAACCAGGAGCTTTGAGACCCCCTTTCTCTTCTCTTTCTTTTTTTTTCTTTCTCTGATACAGTGAATAACTGAATCTTGACATTTTTCCTATTTCTGCTTTCAAAGTATCCCCCATCTCTGTCCTTCCTTCTTTAATAAATTACTTTTTTGGTGCTGGCGATTTAACCCAGGGGTACTTTACCACTGAGCTACATAATATCCTCAACCCTTTTTATTTTGTCACAGGGTTTCATTAAGTTGCTGAAGGCCTTGCTAAGTTACTGAAGCTGGCCTCAAAATTGTGATCCTCCTATCTCAGCCTCCTGAGCTGCTTGGATTACAGATGTGTGACATCACACTTGGCTTAAATTTTTCTGTTTAACTAAAAAACAAAAAATTTTCACTTATGATTCATATTTATAAATTTATAATATGCTAGGCAGATCAGACTACTTATGTTGGCATATACTATATTTGTTTGTTATAGCAAAATCTTGCAAATTGGCAAGTTATGTCAATCATTTGTTGGGCATGAAATAAAAACGGAGAATTAGCTAACTTATTTAAATTTAAAATTCAACAAACTTTAACAAATGTTGCCTGATATATCTGTCACTATCGTCCCAACACCATGCACAATGGATAGTCACTGGTCAAGGCATTTTTTTCTCTTTAAATCATGCCACATAGACATACTGCTCATCTCTGGGTGCCTTTCCAGAGTATCCACCCTTGGCTAACACATTAGGAGAACATAAACAATTAAAAAGAGATTATTTAAAAGCCTCCTAAATGACCTTTCCTCTGTACTGTCCCTGTTAAGAAAGCCTTCATACAAACTTTCAAGTCTCCTCATATTACTCTGAGTCATGTATTGGGATATAAAGAGCATGGAAAGAACAAGAGGCACCACAACTTGTGAATACAAGTAACTAAATGTGACTACTGCACTGTAAGTCACAGATGGGGAAAGAGGGGTGCCTGCCAACCAAGTAGAATAGTTTCTCAAATAATCTAAGTCAAAAACCAAAAGAACCAAATTCCTTTGCTTGGAGAAGAAATATTTTAAAAATTCAACTGGCCAAAATAATAAAAGAGAATAACACTTTTACATGGTCATTAACCTATATTTTTCAAACTAAAATTCTGAATCTTCTATTTATGCTGATATAATTATATGTAAGTGAAATTCCCAACATTTCATTCAATTAATTACTTGAGAATATAGAATATTCTCTGTAAAAAAAACAACAACAACAAAACCCCAAAACTTTATTTAGCTGAGGATCAAACCCAGTGCCTCATTCACGCCAGGTAAGTGCTCTACCACTGAGCTACAACCCCAGCCCTGAAATACTCTTCATAATGAAAGCATATAAATATTGAGGAATTTTTAATACATATGCTTAGGCTAGAGTTTGGCGTATAATACTCAAAGAGTTAATAAATGATAAACTACATGCTAGTAGTTCATATGCAAACCTTGCAGATCTTCTGTTTCCGGTACTGCTTTGTCCACAGATGTACTGTCCACTTGGGAAGATGCTACAGATTCTGATAAAAGTGACTGATTTGATACAGGGCTATAAAAGCAAAAATATTTTAAATTTTATTTTATTAATGGAAAAAATATATATTTTTTGGTTTGTTTTGAGATGCAGTCTGGTTTTAAACTCCTGGGCTCAAGCAATCCTCCCACCTCAGACTCCCAAATGTGGGACTACAGGTGTGTACCATCATATCCCAGCATTATTTCAGTTTTAAAAAATGGTCTCCACACATGAATATTAACTAAAGTAACATAGTAAGTTAAAAGTCAACTTACCTAAGTAGATCACTAAGAACACCAACACACTTGTTTATACCATAACCATAGAGCTTTGAAACGGGAGACTAATTTGGGTTAGAAGTTTGTGTTTTGGAAACAAAGCAATTCCATGTAAATGCACTACTAAAAAAAGTAGCAGATAAAGATGTATTCAAGGAATCCAAGGAATCCTAATGCAAAATTATAAATGATATTATGGCATAGCACAAGTGAATAACTCATGAATTACAAAAAAAGAAACAGAGCACAAATTTTATGTACTGATTCCTAACAGAATAAAACTGAAACAAGTGTTTCTGTATGCAGGCTTCTTTGTTTTGTAACATATTTTTCTTTATAAGTACCAAATATAATACCTAATAATGGTATTAAAGAGAACCTGTGCTAAGACTTTTTTTTTTTTGCAGTACCAGGGATTGAACCCAGGGGTGCTCTACCACTCTCCAGCCCTCTATTATTTATTGACTTTTACTTATTTACTTAAAGACAGGGTTTCACTAGGTTGCCAAAGTTGGCCTCAATTTTGTGATCCTCCTGCCTCAGCCTCCAGAGTCACTGGGATTATAGGTGTGTGCCACCACAACCAGCCAACAAGAATATTTTTAAAATGCAAAGTACTAATACTTTCAGACTAAGACTATAATTTAAAGAATTGACTCAAAAGTCTTCAAAAGGACTTCAGGGGTGGGTCAGGATATAGTATGAAGAAGAATAAAGGAAAAGATATTTGAAAAGGAAATCTAAGACTTAAAAGATCTCACTCCCAAGTGAAAACAATAAAAACCTTTTTCTAATTAGTCAGATATAATTTTAGGACAGTTAATCCTCAAGTAACTTACATAGTTTCCTTAATAAAATTGATTAAAAATAGAATTTGTTCCTTGTTTTTCATAAGTTTTTCAACTACAATTTGGAAAGTCCACCTTACCTTGGCTGCATAGATGAAGATGTGGAGTCTAATGCTGACTGAGCTTCTGGGACACTGCCATCTGTGCACTGAACTGGTAAAGATTCAGACAGACTACTGACAGAAGTTGCTGTAACAGACCACAATTCATTTTAGTGGTTCTATACTATGTACAGCCCAATAACTGATCTTAAAAAAAAAAAAAAAAAGTTCTCTTATGTCTTATAGCCCATATTCCTCCATTACTTTACTTTCCAAGTTAGCTATATTTACTTGAATTATGCTTCTGTTTTCATAAGGTACTAAGAGTTTCTGTAGCATAGCAAATAAGACCTTGGAATGGCTTTACACTATTTACAGAGTAAGGATACTCTTATTCCTGACTTTCCACCATGACTATTACAATGTGTAAAAGAAGAGTTACTGAGATAAATATGGTAATACAAGTACAATGTGACAGCGAAAATGGTCTTGGATACAACAGACTACCAAGTGTATTTTAATTATGATATGCTGAATTACAGAATTACTTACCAGGTGGGCTTATTCTACCATTACTACTATTCTGTCTTTGAAGATGTTCTTTATAGCATACTGAACACATGCCATTTGTACGAGGGTTTCCATAAAATCCGCAGCCAGTGGAACAAAGCATAGGCACTTGGCTGTGATTCGTTTCTTGAGCCATGTTCCTCTGTTGCACACCTGCAATTTATATAGAATAAAGAACTCAGACACAAGAATTCAGTCATAATTATCCTAATATGCTTTCTATACAATAAAGGACAAAACCCCACATATGCACCCCTCCCTCCCAACCACTCTATACAATTGTCCCAAGACCTAGGGCAAAAGTTAATAGAATATAGAAACCAAACAGCACACTGAACTTTTATCTCCAATCAACTCTACATTAGGAGAGAGAACTGTTTTTGTTTTTATTTCCTTGATCACAGATCATTTATTTCTACATCAGCAACTCTGGCACAGACTTGTACTTTTCTTTTTTTTAATCTGTGAGAGACCTGTTTGAAGACCTATCTGAAGTTAAGAAAAACTCTTTAAATATAGTTCAGTTGGACTCTTCTAGTAATGAGAAAAATACACCGTAAGTTTTGCTATATGTTACACTATTTAATCTCTAAACATTTAAACTCTGGATCAAAATTCACTTGTTAATTTATATACTTTATTCTATAACATAATATCAATTCTGGTGAAGAAATGGAGAATAGGGCAGAATGCTCATGAAATCAGAAATAGGTTCAATCATTTTGGAAAGCATGTTGCAATTCACCTCATGAGTCCTATAAAAGACAAATGTTGCTCTCAATCATTCTCCTTTAATGAGCAATTCTATAGAATAACTAGAGTATAATCAGAAAAAGAACAAAGAATGATATACAAGGCATTTGCTTCACAGGATATTCACAATATTGATAAACTCAAAATAACCTAAATGCTCAACATTAGAATGGATTTTTTAAAAGCATGATACATGTTAGTGACAAGTTATACAGTCATTAATATTTTAGAATATTTTCTGATGGAAAAATGTTGGTAATGAATGAAAAGCTGCAATATGAAATATATATACAATTGAGCAAGGTGCACAGCTATAATCCCAGTGACTCAGGAGGCTGACGCGGGAGGATCACAAGTTTGAGACAGCCTCAGCAACTTTTCGAGACTTGGTCTCAAAATAAAAAATAAAAAGGGCTGGGGGTGTGGCTCAGGGGTTGAGTGCCCCTGGGTTAAATCCCCAGTAACCCTCCCCACAAAAATAAACATATATATGTTTCCAATTAGCATGAAAGGAACATCAATCAATCATCAAAACAGGTAGTATGAACATATCCACAGATGGCAAAACTAATGACTTTTTTTCCTGATTAATACCTTTTCTGTACTTTCATGATTCCCGAAAATGAAGATACTACTTGCCTAATTAGAAATAAAATTTATTTTTTTAAGTATTTAAAATTTTAAAAACTAAAAGTTAATGTGACAGAGGCATCAGTCAAGTGATGCTGTGACTCAGGAAATATTTGGGAACCACATGAAGGCAATAATCAATTATAGCAGATGGAAGAACCCCATGTGCTATTTCTCCCATACAGCAATTGGTTCTTTGGCATGAATAACATGACAGACGGTAATAACAAGCTCTTCCTTATTAAAAAACAACCACCCTCTAAATGAAGGTTACTCCAAAATGGGTGTACGTATATAGCAGAGAGTATTATGTTCAAAGATCATGAAGAATGAGAAAAACCGAAGGAGGAAAATGTTTTGCAACTGAAATTTTCTTGAATTGATAAACTCTTAAGGAAAGAATTCACAATTCACTGTTATCAGGTTTACCTTTATCCTAAATTGTTTGAAAATACAGCTGATGGGTAATGGGTATTTAATGCAAATTTCAGAACCAAGAATAATAAAAGCATTTGACTGGATTACAACAGGAAAAAATGATAAGCTTAATATTTGCCTTTAAAAAGAAATGTCCTAAAACTGTTTAGTATTTAGATCTTTAGAGTAGGAATATAATTTGAGATTTTTAAAATATTTTTTTAGTTGTCAATGTATATTTTATTTATATGTGGTGCTAAGAATCGAACCCAGTGCCTCACACATGCTAGGCAAGCGCTCTACCACTGAGCTACAACCCCAGCCCTAATTTGCGATTTTGACAAGCACCTTTCTTACTCCATGAATAAATCATTTTAGAATTCATACAATCTTTTTTATACATATGCTACTTCAGATTCCTCCCTATCCTGCACTCCTATAAATAACTATCAAATTAAAATATAATGATGGTGATATAGAAAAGCTAATGTCTAATATTTTGATTTTTTTTTTGGTCCATATTCCTAAAAGATATTGGTCTATAGCTTTCTTTTACTTTTTTTTTTTTTGATTGTAGATGGACATAATACCTGTACTTTATTTATGCATTTTTTTAATGTGGTGTTGAGGATTGAGCCCAGTGCCTCACATGTTAGGCAAGTGCTCTACCACTGAGCCACAACCATAGCCCCTATAGCTTTCTTTTTTATAATGTTTACCTAGTTGTGTTATCAGGATAACTGGGTCATTATGAAGCAAATAATAAGTGATGGAGCTGGGTTTCAATCCAGGTAGTCTGGATACACCAAAGTCCACATTCAAAGTGTGGTTAACAACCGATTACAAAGGTCAAAACTTTTCAGAATAACAAGTTGTCTTTCTCACCATACTGACATGTGCACTAGTGGTATAAAAGCAAGGTGGATAAAACAGCTGGAGCCTTCCTTATCAAGGAGCCCAAACAAGTCAGTGGCATCAAACTGTACTTCTTCACCACTACACTCAACAGTAAAAAGTATTAATTTTAGACAGGGACAGTGGTGATTGCCTGTAATCCCAATTATTTGGAAGGATGAAGCAGGATTATTCCAAGTTTGACACCAATCTCAGCAATTTAGCAAAATCCTGTCTCAAAAAAATAAAAAAAATAAAAAGACAGGGGATGTAGCTCTGTGGTACACCCCTGAGTTCAATCTTCGGTACTGATACAAAAATACATATAATAATTTCTTTAAATCTTGTCTTGAACACATGAGTCTTATTAATATTTTGTGTAGCTAACTGGGATGCACGCATGAACCACTACTACTGAACAGAGAAATATGACTGAAGAAAAAAACACTTGTGCAACTCTTTATATTGTGAGCTGGCTGAATTACCTTTTCACATGGAAATAATGTTAAACTAGTTATTTGGACTGCAGTATATGGAGATATTCTTGAAAACGAATGAAGTGCACCTGTCAAAACTGATAATATTCACTTTCAAGGACAGTATTCAAGCATTCAAATGAAAAAAGGCTTGACAAGTCTTTAACATTTTGAATGTTTCTGGTGATATTGGTGGTGATATTAATGAAATGCAATTAGTCAATATTAAATCAATATATGCAAGATCTGCATAAGTCAGTAAAGTAGTATTTTCAAAGTATCCAATGTGTGATGGTATAAAAATCCATTTGAAGTAAAAGATGTCAAGGATAGGTCAAAAAGGTTTTATGTGGTTTCAGATTCCACAATGCAACTATTCTTTACAAAACTAGCAGCTGTCAAGTTTTAGTGTAGTATCAAACAACTACCTCTATTATATGAAAACCTTTTTCCTTTTCCAACTACATATGAGACCAGATTTGCTTTATAATACTGTACCAGATTGAATCAAAGGTAACTATGAGAATCTTGCTATTAAGCCAGACCTTAAAGAGAGTTGCTAAAATGTTAGTAATGCCATTCTTATCACTAAAAAGTGTGAGTATTTGGGGGATGGGGACATTTTCCATTAATTTTTAAAAAGTAAAGAAGTATTTAAAATTTTTCTCCATTTAATTTATAATCTGATGGATAACTCTAGATATACTCCTCATAAACAATCTCTTTAGGGTATTATTCACTAATTTTAGAGAACGAAAGATCCTGAAACCAAAAATTTTGAGAATTAACTGCTGCAACAAAATGTGCATTTTCAATATAGGCAGTAGCACCTCCAAGAGGCAAACACTAATTTTTTGAGGAAAGGAGGCACACCAAAAAAAAAATCCCTTCCTCTTTATATATAGAACATAGACATATACACTATATATAAATAGATACACAGTATTATCTTTGGATTGAAAATTTTATGGAGGTGTAGGGGCAAGTTTTTAAGGGGAAAAAAAAAGTCTAAAAGGGCTCCTTGAGGGGATGGGTAATAGATAAATACTTCTATATAAACCACAAGTAAACATTAGATAAAAAGTACAATAAGATAGGGCTGGGGTTGTGGCTCAGCAGTAGAGTACTCGTCTAGCATGTACGAGGCCCTGGGTTTGATCCTCGTACTACATAAAAATAAATAAATAAAATAAAGGTATTGTGTCCAACTACAATAAAAAATAAATTTTTTTTAAAAAGTAAAATAAGATAAAAAGTACAATAAGACCATCAAAAAGCTTTTCTACCATAATACTTGCTTTGTAAGAATGAAATTCAAAGCCATGTAACTCTAGCAATTTTCCCAAGCCAAAATGCCTTGCATAGCAACAAATTAACAATGATTATAACTCAAAAGGCACAAAGGATTTCATGAAAAAAACAAACAAAAAAAAACAAAATAAAAACTCAAAACTAACCTGTTTATTCATCATTTAGGACAAAAAACCAGTACCTTTTAAGAAGATTCTGAAAGATCCAAAGCCATGAAAGGGTGACTTAGTTTATCTGAATGTATAACGGTATGGATAGAATAGCTATGGAGAAAATGGAAATCCTGACGGCCCTTGGTGGTGTAACTTTTTGGTAAGTAAACAACTTACAGAACACACCAGTTGGCATTCAAATGATCAGAGAGAAAAAGAAGGTAGAACAATTCCATAACTGCTGCAGTGGGATTCTAAAGCTGCAAATCTAAGGAGACAGAGTGCAAATGCTCTACTAGAAGAAAATGGATCAGCATGGCATAATTATTAAAAATTCTGTGAATGGAAGTGAATTCATAAAATGAGTTCAGATACTTTATTACATTCATAATTAAATTCATAACTCGTTACTCCCTCTAACAACCTAGATAACACTCAAAGTAGTTATTCAGAGTTTACTATGGGGCAGGAACTGTTTTTATTTTACTTATCTATCATTTAATCCCCTCAAGAACACTCC